TTTAAATATATAATTTATAATTTAAATTTATATAAATAGATATTTTAAATATATAAATTATATTTTTAAATTTATAATAAATGTAATGCAATATTTTTTATTTATTAAAAAAATATTTTAAAAATATTAAAACTTAACTCATAAATAATTATGTAAATAAAAATCAAATAAAATGGAAAGTTGAAAAATTTCTTAAAATCTTTTTTGTCGAAGAAAAATTTCCTAAACTTACCTATACGTAAAATAAAGATTTGTATTTAATATATAGGATTTGATTAAAATAATAGTTATTCATAGATATAATTAATTATTAAAATAATTTAATTTTAGAAATTTGTAATATTCACTCTAAAAGCATATTTATATCGATAATATCTCTTTCAACGTCATTTTTATATGAAGTACTTTATCTTTCTTTATTTTACTCATAAATTTGAATAAGTTTTTTTAATGTCTTTTTCATCTCAATTATTTTTTATTCACTTTAAATAATTATTCATGTAATTAAACATTACATAATTTGTTTTTATAAAACTTATTTAAAAAATAGAGAGTGACAGACTGGGTTTATTCTGTAGTATATGTAAGATAAAATAAAATAAAGCAACAAGTGACATGAACGAAGGAAGAGCTTAAAGAAGTGGCTCCACGTTTTCAAATAGTTTCATTTAATTGAATTATTTATTTATTTCCCCATTTTTTTAAGGAGTTTATTTTATTTTATGGTGCAGAAGCAGAATTATCAATAATTAAGGGAAAATGACACGTGGCTCACATTGCTGTCAATTCCAGGACGCTGTGGGCCCCACCATAAGGCCACGCGTTCGCCCGATTCTGCTGCTCAAGTGCGTGTCACGTGCCCCTCAAATTTTGTTTCTTTTTCCTTCTTCAGAGGCTATGATATCCTCACCCTCTGTCACTTCACACACACTTTTCCCTCCACGTGCCCCTCCCTCAACGTCATGCTCACCTCATCATAAGATGTCACTTCTATTCTAAACACCAAACACTCAACTTGCTAGTCTTGTTAACTTTGTTGTTTTTTATTTTTTCACTTTCACTGTTATAATTCTCATCAATTTCATTATCCTTATATCACAACTAAACTCAACACCCCATATTCTAGGGAAAGTAAAGTTCTTTCATTTGCCTTTTGTTCCCCTGATTTCATTAATCAATTGGGGAATTTGATCTGATTGTGGTTCATTTTCCCAACGGGTAAGGGGTTTGGGGGCGATTATTATAATCTGGGTGGAATCATTCTCTGTCTGCATGTGTGAATTCTGGCAAGGTATCACTAAAACTTATACTTTTTGGTGGCATGTGATGTGGGGAATTCTTTCTGAGCTGGGTTTGGTTGCAAATGTGGGTGAATTGGGATTTTGGTGCTTGTATTAGGATCAGATAAACTCCAAAATTTGGTAATATTCTATCAAGTATAGCTCACTAGCTGGTGTATATCTGCTTCTATGACCAATAGTTAAGGTTGCATGTTGGAATATCCCTTGGTGCTGTTTGGTTGTTTGACTAAATTTGGAAGAAACAAATGTTGCTGAATGTTGTGATTTTTTTCTTCTAGGGGCATTTGGTTGCTGGGCACTGGCAAAGAGTTGAAAGATTTTATCTTTTTCTTTAAACAGTTGCGGCTCCTGCTGAAGATCCAGTAAGAGCAAACTGAAAACTATTTGTTTTGAGCCTGTGTTTGCCTTGACAAGTATCATCTTTCCATGATGAATTGTAATAATTTTGAATTGAGATGCCTCAATTTCCTTTGACTTGGCACATTTCTTATAATTTTATACATTATGAGGCTATGAAACGTTTTAATGTGGCTTTACTATCAATCAGCATACTGCATTTTAAGTGACTACTACTCCATAGAAAAGTAAGTGGTATTTACATTATCGAAAATGCTGTTTTCCAAACCTTTTGAACTTCAGCAGCCATGTATATATTATTACCCAAATAAAGAGTGTTCACATTTTCTTGCTGACCACTATCAGGTTAATGTTACACTTGTATGTTTGTTGTGAACTTGATTGTATTACCTTCTTAAATTGACTTACGTTCATTCATCATTGAAGCTATAGAACTATTGAGACTTTCTGTGAATTTTGCTTGATATCATATTGATCAATTTTTACCTCTAGAAGATTTGGACATCAATGTTTCTGAGACAATTATTATGGCTTTAGTTTTCATTTAATCACGTGGTTTTGTTTCAGAAATACCTTAATTATCTATTCTTTTATTGCCATTGGGGGGTCTCTTATTATAAAGGGGAATAATCACTGTCTTTATCGACTTTTATTTATCTTGCATTTGTTTTAGCATAAATAATAAAATTTGTACATCCACTTAACTTTTGTAGGGATCTGAAGATAAGATATGCAATCCAAATCTGAAACCGAAAATCAGCTGAAGTCCAATTCACATTCCTTTACACCTAACAATGCTTATTCTGAACCCTGGTGGCGAGGTATTCAGTACAATCCTGTCCCCCAAGCAATGTTGGGAGTGAATGCATCTAATTCGTCTTCACTTGAACGCCTTAATGGTGATTCAGAATCCAGTGAAGATCGATCTTTGTCCAATAATGGGTTGAATGAGGAAGATGATAATGCCACTAAAGAATCACAACCCACTGCTCCTAGAAAATCAGGTGCTTTAGACTATATTTTAAAGAAAAATACAAACATTAAAATAAGGATAGATAACATTTACACATTTGCTTATATATAATGCCTCAAATTATGTTGATGTGATTTTTTCCTTAGTCCAAGAGTTACAAGCTTATGGTGGTACTCAAATATAATATTCTTCTTGGCAGGGAATTATGGACAAGACCATCAAGCGATGCAGCATTCTTCATCACCTGCACCTTCTGTGCATGATGATTACCTTACAGAGGCTCCACAACTGGATCTTGTTGGCCATTCAATTGTTGTAAGCCTTTGCCCTCATGTTATTTTTTATTATTATTATTTTGGCATGAAGAGAAGGTGCAAAGATCATAGCTTTATGTCTGTTTAATAGCATAATTTTTTTTTGCTGATTCTTACATGCTTATGATGAAAATTCAATTATTGGAAAAGTTATATTTGCATCTTGCATAATGCATGCTTTTGTGATGGATCCTAGTATACTTCAAATATTTTTACTACATGCATGTGCTTCAAATCCTTATTATGGTAGCTTACGCAGACCAACAGTTGGTATGTGAGACTAACCAGTGTTCTTACATAAAAAATTTCTACACGTAGTTTGTGAAACTCACTGTTTTGCATTTCTCATGAATCAGTCCGGTTACAAATTGTTTTTGTCCATAACCCTGATGGATAGATTCTTGTTATATGATAAATTCTCGTGTTATTTGGTCTATTTTCCTGTTTCAAACAATGGTTATATTTGGATATCAATGTAATGATAAATAACCATATTATACTTTCACTATTAGGGATATGCTCCTTTTATAGGAATGCCTCATGCCAGAATGGCTTTGCCCCTTGAGATGGCTCAAGAGCCTGTTTATGTGAATGCCAAACAATACCAAGGAATTCTGAGACGAAGACAAGCTCGTGCTAAAGCAGAACTTGAAAAGAAATTAATAAAAGTCAGAAAGGTACAAATGTGCACCAGCTAATGCGTATGCATGTTGGTTACTATATAGTTCTGTAGTTAATTTCTGCCTTATCTCTTTTGGAAAGTGATATCTCAATTCTCAACACATTTCAGGTTTGGGATATTTGTTCCCCTGTTTTATTTTGTTTTGTTCTATAACCAATCTACTTTCTCTTGAGCTAAAAATTTAGTTTGACGTCAAATATTTTAAACTCTATATCTACCAAGGATACAATCAAGGTAAGATAATTGGAAATCCGGTAACCTCCGGATCTTTGAACATTTTAAAATCAGTGAGGGAGTTTAGGAAAGTGCTCCTGAACCTAAATTTGTAATGCTTTGGAACTCAAAAGACTCAATAAAGTAGGAAGGATAAGATGTTGAGAAGCTTATCTTCATTAAATTTTACACAAACATGTCTAAAATCAAAACTTTTTTGAATGGGTTGGCTCTAGTATAGTACTGATGCTTAGTATTTTTATCCCCACCCCGGTATGCTTACTTCAATTTCTTCACAGCCATATCTTCATGAATCTCGGCATCAGCATGCTATGAGAAGAGCACGCGGTAATGGAGGACGTTTTGCAAAGAAAACTGAAGTTGAGGCTTCAAACCACATGAACAAGGAAAATGATAAGGGTTCTGATCCAGTTCCATCATCACAGTCAATTAATTCATCTGGTTTTGAACCATTACCCTCTGATTGTGCTGAGACCTGGAATTCTAATGTGCAACAAGATGCCAGAGGATCTCAAGTGCATGAGAGATTTGAAGAACACAACTATGCAGATGGTAGAGGCTCCTACCATAATCATAATGCTTTGCAGTCATCATCTGCTTTTAGTTTGCACTCAGGTGAAAGAGTGGAGGAAGGGGACTGTTCAGGCCAACAAAGGGGAAGCATCTCATCTGAGCACACTTCTCAGAGGCGTCTTGCTATTCAGTAAACCACTGCATGAGGTTGATGTAAAGGTTGGTTTATAATCAAGTAAAGTAGTAGGTTGAGTACCTTGGTTATCTATACGTAAACATTGGCAATTTGCATGTCAAGCGGCAAATCATTCTTGGCTGTTTTTCTGGTGTTTATGATATGGGGAGAAGAATGATTGATTGAGCCATGATACATGTGTGATTGAAGTCAGCCAATCTTTCATTACATTCTCTTCTTTTTGTAAAAATATAGTACTATAGTAGTTAGCCAAGTCAAAGTCTTTGATCTTCTGACGGTTATTAATGTTAAATATGAGACGTCATGAGAGATTCACTGCATGATTGCATTTGCAGCGTCTTTGGCTCTTCTTGTCATTTCACCTTATTTTATTTTATTTTTTATTTTTGGTGTGATCAGGTCATTGGTTCAACTAAAGTTCGATCTTATCGTTAAAAAAAAACTTGCTATAACCATTTGGTAATCAAAATATGAATGCTTCTTGTTTCTTGAAATTGTCCAGTTTTGTTATGCTTTTAAGTTTCAGATACAAGGAATGTTCGGGAATAATTTTTTACTACTGAAGAGCAACTATGTGTCCCAATGTTGGATTCAAGAGAGTGACTATGTGGGTCCTACTATCGAATTCAATGGTGTAGATGCTCTTGGAGGAGGAAGAAATATTCTTTCTTCGTTAGCATATAAAACTTTACGAAGTACCCACTACATACAACTACAATCTTGGAATTCCTGAACAGCAATGCTTGCATTCATATTTCATCAACATTCCTGGCAAAATCCTTTGTTTTCTAATACGAAAAGGTGACCAATTACAGAATCACTAGTCCTATTGAAAACATGAGAGAATCTACATGTTTAATATTCGAACCAGATTCAGTGAAGCCCCCTATTCCCTTGCATTCTGACAATCAACGCATTTGCAATTGTTGAATAAAAATCCAACAATAAGAGTTTGAATGTGTTCTAAGTTTAGTTTATAACGAGAGAATATAAGTCGTATGATATTTATATGATGGTTTTAAGTTACTAATGGTGTGAATGTGTGATAAGCAACTGCAAACAATCCATATCAAATGCACGGCCAGGTCAAATAATGTAAAACAGCAGTAAAAGAAAACAATGTTGGTCTTCTCTCCAAGAGCTTTAGTTGTTATCAACCAATTAAGAACGTTCAAAAAACTAAACAAATAAAAGGAGTCGGTTTAAGAACGAAAACAAATTGCAAATTGATAAAGAGAAATAAATTCAATAAAAACAACTAATCCACAAGTTTTCTAATCGGACCTATCATCAATTTCTAAAGCTCTATCCCAATTCTTGTTTCAATTCATTTTTTACCCTAAAATTAATCAATTAAATGTCAATTAATTCCAAGAAAATACCTACGGAATTAAGCGCCATTTAAATCAACAAACCAATTTATAAAACGATTCCTTATCAAACCACTGATTAAACATCAAAATCTAATCAATCCCAATCAGAATATGCTAAATCATGGGTCACTGATTAAACATCAAAATCTAATCAATCCCAATCAGAATATGCTAAATCATGGACCACTGATTAAACATCAAAATCTAATCAATCCCGATCAGAATATGCTAAATCATGGGTTCAACATATTAATCCAAAATGAAAATGCTAATTTATATGATGATGCACCAACCCAAAAAGAATTCACAATCCAGATTCAAAGAAAACGGAGAAAGATTGATTGATAAACAACATAGACCAAGAATTGGAAAAAACTAAAACCAAACCTAAAGACCTAAAAAGAAACCTTTATTCAGCGGATTGATCCAAAGATATTTACCCTTCCCTAAGACTTCACACAAAAACGTCAAGAGAAAAGAAGATGGAGAAAAGAAACTCGGACTCTAAATCAGATTCCTCTTCAAACGTGTCTCTGTAGCTCAAGTTATGATCTAACCAAAGACAATGGTCAGAAAACCTTAAAATCCAAAAATTAAGATTTGCATTAAAGCCCAACTAAATCCAAACATACAGCTAGAATACCAATATTAGGAACAATAAATACCCAACAAAATCAAGTATAAATCCATAAAAATTGTATTAAAATTGGTTGATCTGTAGGCTATCTGAATCTAATTCCTTTGCCCCAATACCTGGAGAGGTCTCAAAGCTTAGCTTATTTTTTCAGTTATTATTCCTTCAATACATCCAATGAAACATAACAAACCAAATACAAAGCCAAAAATGGTGAAAGTCCGAAGCAGGATCCACTTAGTCGTCCACGCTACAGTGTTGGACTGACCCAAGTAAATTTCCACTGGAAAATATATGGTCAACGGCCAAAAACTTATGCTACCCAAAACTCCCAAAATCTGATTGAAGTAAGGAAAGATGATTGCAACCACAACTGTCGATACAACATAAGCGGTTCGGAAAGACAGGCAGAGAAAATTAAGTTCAAAGGCTGGCAGCAACGGGAGTTTCAACATATATGTGTGATTCACAAATTCACTATCTGGGAATTTAAAACGGAACCAATTCTCAAATGTGGCAAAAAGTGGCTGGCTATACACCTGCACCAAAACAAGGCAGATGACAATCAAATGAACACGTATTCTATAATAGCAAATACAAGTAGAAAACAAACATATTACAAAGAGCAGAATTGGTTAATTGTATTTGATAACACACTACCCAAGATAGGTGATGGATAATGAGTCTATTTCGATACAAGTTTAAAAATGTTTTTGAAGATTTTTCTACCAAAAATAAAGCGTATTTTCTAATAGAAAAATTCTCAGAAGTACTTCTAACTTATATCTAAACTCGTTCAATATAAGAGTTGAAGAGATATAAAATGGGAGCACTATGATAAGAATTGGCAATGGTATCTAAGCATTTCCATGTACCTGATATGAACCAAGTAGGTGAACCACTATACAAACATTGGCAAAATTCACAAGCCAATAAGACTTGGAGGATCCGAACCCTGCTAAAAGGTTTCCGGGTGCATTATCACCAAAGGCAGCATATCCAGCAGCTCCACAACAGAGGAACAACAAGGTTTGGATAGTGACAGCTATTACTGAGGCCTTCTTCATGGTTTGGTTTTCTGGTGGAGGTGTTTTCAAAGTATCCTTCAAGGATTGGAGTAAATTATATCAGCCTTTATTATTAATAATTGTGAAATTTTCCCCCCAGAGCTGTGGTGAAGTTACATTATGGTTTCCTTTTAAGGGGTACGTACCTGTATTTCCAAAAGAATTATCGAGAATGGATATGAGAATGATATGTCACCAAGTGCTTGACAAATCAGCCATAACTTTTCAGTTCCACTGGAGGTACTGATTCCTCCAATGCTACCCTCAGCATGTCCTTTTTCTGATCAAAACTAATAATTAGCCCAACATATATTTTCAAGTAAACGTCCATGCACAAGCCAGTCATTGTGAGCCTAAGCAAAGACTCCCATACATACGCATACCTATAATTGTTGCAATGGAAAGCCCCACTCCTATGAAAGAATAAGTAAAGGACATAATTGCAGCAACAACCGATAACCATTCGATGTTATGGAAGTTGGGTATCTGTGACAGAACAATTTGGACAGCCCCAAAAAGCAGCATATAATATACATCAGCAGATTCACATGATGCTTCCCGCCCTTGGTTGTGGTAACAAAATGAATTTTGGATTGCACTGTTGCCACAAATACGAATAGCAGTCCAAATTAATATTGGCAGTCATATGGTAAGATGGTAGCATCTATAGAGCAAAGAAGAGGAAATGACATAACATAACAGGAGAGGAAGCAGTATGATTGCATGGACACACCTTAAACTGATAGCTGCTGTAATGACGTAGGCAATTCCAAAACCATAAAAACTTATATTCACAAGAAGGCCACTGAGGCGTCCATTCCTTATCCCTGAACCACCGAAAGAGGATATTATAAATAGCTTATAGCGATCTTGCACCATAGAAACATATCAAATGTTGTTCCATATTATGCATGCCTATAAAAACATATTAAAAAGCTGTTCCAAACGTGGTACCAGCTTTGACTTGCCACTTAGAAACATGTTACTACGTTATTCCAAGTGTGGTACCACATTTGAAAGGGACATTAGCTTAATGTTATTCCCACAACAAGGTGGATGCTACTTCCTCCAGACTCAAATATAAGTAAAAACAAATCTCATGAAAAATGAATCAAAATATAAATAAATGTTAAATAAGATCAACAAAATTAAACGATCTTAACTGATAGAGTATGTAGCATACCTAAATGCAAATGGACAACATCAAGGTAGGAGGCACTCCTGTGAGGACCCTCTTCAGGACAGGGATGGCGATAAGTGTTGCATTGAAGAAAAGAAGAGAAGAGAGTGGCAGAAGCAACGAGAAGGATTGAAAACGGGCCTGCAATCCACCCTAGCTGTGCAGTGCTCCAAGGCAGAGACAACACTCCAGATCCTATCACCCCTGTCACTATGTGTGCCACTGCTGTCCACACCGTCCCTTCAACAAATTCAATTCTTCATCAGATTCATGATGATCATTCACCTTTGCACACAAATTAAAACACACACATATATAAATATATAACACAACACAAACCTGTCCTTTTGAGAGGGTGAGATTGGGTGAGTAACAGTGGGATGTTGTCACTTGAATCGGTCATCTTCACACCCATGTCAGATGAGATGCTATGTGGCTCATTCTCCATCATGTGGACCTTGAATAATAAAAAGGCATTTAAGGAAAGAAAATGGAAGACACAATTTGGAATTTTTCTCCTGATATTTGTTACTGAAAAACCAAGATAGGGAAAAAGTTAGAAGCCCATGTGGACGAGGAAGGATTCAAGAAGAGGTATAACAGAACATGTTTTTTTCTTTCTCTTAGTTCAATTATATTTCTTTGGTTCCATGTGTTAAATAGAAGACGGTTCTCGTAGGTTTGGGGTTCTTATCCCCGTTGTTCCCAAAAAAACAAAAACAACTGTTCCAAATCAACACGCAGTAACAACACTGAACATTCCAATTTGTAGTAAACATCTAACATCTGATGGAGAGATTAACCACAAAGTCTGACCAACCAATTCAGATCAACTTTGCCTGGAAATCAATTTTGGCTTTATAGTGCGTCAAAAAAGAAATAAAAAACAAAACTTTTACCCTCAGATATCAAGTCACTAGAATCTAGATACTCCGGATTTAATTTATCAAAAGTTGTAAAATAATGTTTCACTAATATAACCCTACTATGAGCATGGATTAGTCATTGTTTTTTAACTTAAAATTATTGGGTCATCATGTTCATAAACACAAAAATAGTGTCCATAAAAAACAAGTTTCCTTTTTTTCCTTTTTAAGGAAAATGCTGAATTTTCATAATTAAGAATATGTTTTAGTATGATAGAATAAAAAATGATATTTGCACCTCCCAAAAAAGAAATAAAACAATAATATAATTAATTATATTAGTTAATCATCTATATATGTATAAAGTTTTTTATATTGACAATCAATCATATTTTTTAAATTATTTTATTTTATTTTTATTTTATTAAATAAGTAACAAACTACTAAAAAATATGATTAATTATCAACGTAATTTTTTTTACACTAATAGTGTACTCTAACTATATTTTGTTTTACGTTGAATGATATTAAAAGCAAAATAAAACTAAATATATGATTAAAAATTACATTTTAATTTCACTAAAAATAATAAAAAATGTAGTAGAATTATGATATTCAATCTGAAAAATGATAACTAAAATATCGAGATTAAAATATAGATATGCCATTTGGTTTTCTATACTTAAAAGTTGAAACCATTATCTTTTGTATTTTAAGAAATGTAATATATATATATATATATAACTTGAGTTACTTCTAAAATACACAAACACATAAAAAAAACATATATAACGTGTAAATAATTTTTTTTTATGTATTTGTGTATTTTAGAAGTAACTCAAGTATTATATATATATCACACTAGTTGGTGATATGTTAAAAAACAAAAGTAGTTAAATGTCTCCATAAAAAATAATAGATAAAGAAATAAACTATTTTCCGAAAGAAACGCAAGCCTGTTTAATGAAAAAATATTCAAAATGAAAACGGATATGATTGTCTCTGCAAATTTGTCGATTATGTCCCTTTTATTATTATAAAATTTTGTATTTTCATGATCTTAATTAACGCCATAACTTAATCTCAACGAACAAAAAACCCTGAAATAATTGAGCTATAATCGTCTTTATTGACTTTGGTAGAATAATAATCGCGTTCTTTGTTTGATAGCTTTCAAGTTTTTTACATAACATGGGAGTCTTGGAATATGAAAAATGAAGGAATGAGTGAAAATGAGATTCACCTCTTTGAAATAAAAATAACTAGACCGCAATGTTTGATTTTAGATTTCATTTGAGATTATCTCTTAAACATAACCAAGTAAAATTGTTGTAAACAATGTTTAGGACAATCTTACATCCTCGAAATTACAACAAACCCAATATGTGCCATCAGAATGGGAGTGTCCTAACTCCTAACCAAACAAACATAAACATAACATAACTAAGGGTAATGGATGGGATTTGATGCACTCACTCTGTTAAGTGTTAATTAGCCCAATTCCACAAAATGGACTGTAACACAAAGCCCAACCTGTGGTTTTTGGGCTCTCCAATTTCTTTTCCCCAAAACCGGGTCTTACAAAATTTCTTCTTGCATCCATCTTTTTGGTTTTTATGCTTGGTTGCTTGTTATTTTCACTATTTATAATAATAAAATATTTAATGAATAGCAAATACTCACACGTTAATATATCTTTGTTTACTATAATATATTTATAAAAACCACAACGTGTTAAATAAATATGAATATTATAATATAATATTTTAATAAAAAATCACAGATTAATATTATCATATAACAGGATTCTCTAAAAGAGGAGAAGCCAAAACTAGAAACTGCAAGCAGCCATCGCGAAATAGACACCACACTCTCAGGCGGTGCCTCAAAAACAGATAAAGCCGAAGCACAATAATGCGAAAGAGAGGCTATGCAATCACAATTATTTTATACTATAATATAATAATTAGTGCGAATATTTACATAATATATATATATATATATATTAATACACTTTTTTAGAATATGATAAATATTTTAATTAATGTATAATGGTGCACTTTTGTGCTGGTAAAAAACTACAATGTAAAAGTTGACCAATTTTAATAGATTCTTACTATTTAATGTCCTTAAACCACTAGTTAAACAATTATATGTAGAAATTTTTTATTAAAATTAGAATAAAATTATACAGAAAAATGTGCAGACACTGCTGTCAACAAAAACTTTATATTTTTTATTTCTTGATGAGTGTATTAAGAACATTGCTTATTAATTTCTTTTATTATCATTTCTCACCCATCAATATCATCATCATTTCTTAGTACGTTCTTTTGTATTGTTGAGTTTTGGACTTTCTTTCTATACCAAAAACGGGCACAAATGTGCAAACTCGTTGTATCTTACTTAAGTAAAGAAGGGTTAAATCAAGATCTATAGAGAGTGACTCATTATTAAAAAAATAATAATAAATATTTACAGAAAAAAAAAATTATTGTACAGTTCGTATATTCATCAAACAACAATATTGTGATAGACCTTTCTGGAATCACATATGGGTTATTTACTGCATGCTAAGCCTTATCAAGTCCAGACAGTATCTCCATCTTGGCCAGCACATGCAAATCATCAACATCACCGTTCTATACACACATCATAGCAGCAATAAAATTGCCCATACACTCTTGTCCCATCTTATGTTAAATTATTGTTCAAACTTTATGCCTTCCTGGTCCTGGGAACTCTTATGTTAAGTTACTTAATCTTAAAAATTAACTAATATATTTCTGTGGACACAAATAAAATTCCTTATATCATTTCCATCAAATTCTTTAATTAAACAATGAAGAGGGAATATTTTTTTTGCAACATCAAATGACTTTCATCAAGAATATGTTGTTGAATTTCAAAAAGATGTTCAAATGTATCTATTTTAATGGAGAATTTAATGACGTGTACACCAGAAATAGTTTAAGCTTTACCCTATTTCCGTTAATGACCATATTTATGTAGCATTACAATTTATTTAAAGGGAGTTCTTCACTAACTAGTACTATTCCATGTCCAACTCCTCACATTATTGCTATCTCCTTTATAAACTCAAAATAGTAATAAAATTAACATGAAACTGAATTACATGAAAGATAAGATTATAAGATAATGAAGCACCCTTCATTAGCTTAGTTTCTCTCTTATGATTCCTTCAAATGATGCAATGAGAGCCAGTACCGACACAATAAAGCAAATAAAGCTTAAGGTCCTAAGAACAATCCATTTTCTAGACCAAGCTTCAATTTTCCTCTGCACAAAGTACATCTCTATCGGGAAATATATAACCAATGGCCAAAAGCCTAAGGCTCCTAACACTCCTAGAAGTTGATTGAAGTATGGAAACAGTATAGCAACTCCAGTAGTGGAAACCACATAGGCTGTTCGAAAACATATCCTGAACATGTTTATCTGAAAAGCTGGCAAACAAGGCAGTTTCAATTGATAGAAATTATTCACAAAGCCAATGTTGGAGTATTTTTTTGAACACCATCGATCAACAGCACCATATATCGGCTGACAGTAAACCTGATCAAAAGATATCATATACAAGAATCACAAAAATTAGTTCTAACAATATCTTGTGCATATGCATTAAGAGAAAAAACTAATAGTTCTTATGACTAATAAGAAGCTACGATCTTATGAATAAAATGAGAATTTTGATTAGTGACACTAGTACCTGATATCCTCCTACCAGATGAAGAACAATGCAAGCATTAGCAAAGTCAACGAGCCAATAGGGCTCGTAAAAGCCAAATCCTGTCAAGAGGTTCCCTGGTGTTTGATTTCCAAAAGCTGCATATCCAAAGCATCCACAGCAGAGGTAGAAGAATGTTGTAATGAGGAGAGCGATCAAGGAGGCCTTTTTCATGGTCTTGTTTTCTGGTGGAGGAGACTCTAGAGTGTCCTGCGATCACAAGAAATAAAGTCAATAATTTGCTTCAGCTGTAAATTTTGTCTTGTCTAGTTTAATTTCTATAATGTTAGTGTATAAATTTTTACACAGTAAACTAATAAAAATCATACTAGATTTTATGATTGAATAGCGGTATAAAATCTCTTTGCAGGGCATTTAAATTAAATTCCTCCTTGCATGTTCCTCTCCCACCCATTTGGAATATGAAAGGTACCTGTATCTCCAAGAGGATGACCGTGTATGGATAGGCAAAGGCAATATCACCAACTGCTTGGAAGACTAACCAGAATTTGTCAACAATATTTGAAGTTGGTACTCCTGTTAATCTCCCCTTAATTGTTCCATTTTCTACAAGTATCATGAATCATGATTGATTGTTGCTTTCTCTTCATAATGTTGCTTTAATGATCAGAACAGAAGGCTCAAATGGACAAGTAAACAAAACCATAAATTCTAATTATGAAATTGAACCTTACCCACTACTGTTGCGATGCCAAGTCCAAGTCCAATGAATGAGTATGTAAAGGACATTATGGCAGCAACAACTGAAAGCCATGCCATGGTGTGAAGATCTGGTATGAATGACATTATGACCTGAATTAGTCCAAACAGCACCATATATATTGTATCTCCATATTTACAAGGAGCCTGATGTCCTTCCTTGTGATAACAATTTGATTTCAGTATCGCTCTGTATTTGTAGAAAGACCAAGCATAGTTATAACATCATCACATGTATCATTATGATAGATTAGTATCTCCAATATAAAATGAAATAGAAAAGCAACAGTTACAAGTAACAAGTTACAACTCAAACTCAATTGAATGGAATAGTACCTCAAACATTGTGCTGTGGTAATTATGTAAGCAATACTAACTCCATACAAGCTCAAATATTGAAGGAAACCAGCCAACCATGTTCTTTTATTGCCTAAACAAACAGTAAACATAATAAGTTGGCATACTTATAATGGCAGTTCACTGGATCCATATCCAAAATTTCAAGCTAGAGTGATTGTACAAGAAGAAAGAACTACCAAGATAGATTCTAACAGCTTCAATGTAAGAGCAGTTTCTTTTCCCAGTTACAGGATCCAGAGTTCTGTAACAATCAGAAAGGAGGAATGAAGAAATATAGGTGACAATTGCACAAAAAACCAAGAAAAGTGGTGCTGCAATCCATCCCAATTGGGAAGTGCTCCATGCCAGAGACAGAACACCAGCACCAATAATAGCTGTAATGATATGAGCCACAGCACTCCATAAAGTTCCTGGTAGAATTGTTGGAAGGAGTGAAATTCAAGTATATGAAAATGGAAAGGTTATGGTATGGTCCTAGAGATCTTTACCAGTCCTCTTGGCACGTCCATCATCATCGTAACCGCGAGTACCACCTGTAGTTATTTGGAGAGAGTTTTGCATTGTCATTTTTATCCAACTCAATTCTAGTTCATGGAGTTTGCTGGATATGCTTGTTACATTAAGTGAACTTTACGGCACCCGCATGAATTCATATTATATGCTTGTTTAGCGACCATTTAATATTAGTCTGCATGTAATATGATTATAAATTATGAAGGAAGGCATCATTTTCTATGGCTATGGAGTTTTAAAATTGATAAAGGACTCTTTGATGTCAAGGACATCTCTCCTTAAAGTTAATAACTGACTCACTAGTTATACTTACACTTACACACGCATTTGAAATATAAGATTATGCAGTCGCTAATCGCTATCTTAATATTCCAAGTGGAATATATTATCTCTATGCTCAACATAGTGGGGTTAGAGATAGAGATACTCCGTTCTGCCAGTCAAATAATTTATATAAGTGGACGACACCATTTTTTTATATATTAAATTAGTTTTGTAAGTTAAATACAATGCATCATTATGATTTATAATTGACTTAATAATAAAAATTGAAATAATATGCATAAAGTTTAAGTTTAAATTTTAGTTTTGTCATTGTAATTCCAATGTATTAAAAAAAATAAATGTTGAACACAATCTCCCATTATTAAAATAGTATCATATTCAAGATGTTCAACTAATTTAGTATAATTAAATTATTTTTTTATATAAAAATTATAACGATGTAAAACTTTACAATTTTAATCTCTTTATTATTAACCTCTCAACACTAATGATTCAATACTTCAGTGAATTAGTGGATCCATCATTACTAGCATAGTGAAACACAATCTCATAAATACTGGGGCATAACTATTTTGGCCACTAATTAACGCCACTAGTTCACTAACATGGGATTAATTAGAATTTTGTAGAGTTATCACAGTTCAAACACAAGGCACAATTCTCATTAGAAGAATTCTTTTTTGCAAGCTCATATTTGCATGTATTCTTTTTATATATAAAAAATTCATTATTTTAATCTATAATTTAAACAATCTTGTTTCAACTTATTATTTTACATTAATTTTGGTTGACTATTCTATTATAACCTTTATTATTTTATAAAAAATGCATTAATATGAAAGTCATAATATAATTAATATGGTGTGTAAATTTATAACTGACTTAAATTTGTACTATGTTTAAAACATAATAGTAACATTGAATTTATATTAATATTATTTTAGTGCTGACTTTTTTTTTTAGTAAGAATTTGAAATGAAATTACGGTAATAGTTGAGAATTGAACCATCAATTATACCAAGGATTGTTCTAACTTAAAGTGTCTTAAGTTTGAATACTAAATATACAACTGTGATATGTTAGATAATGGGAAGGAAAATTTTGTCATTCATAATGATCTTATCTTATTCGAGTGGTCTAAAAGAAAATAATAATTGTATAAAAAATATAATTTTATAATTATAGGCATTAAAATATCATACAATAATAATTTGAATAATATTTTCTTTATATTTTAGGTTAAATTAATCTATAAGATCTTGTAATTTTTTAAAATTTTAATTAGATTTTTATAGAAAAAACTTATTATTTAATCTTTTTTAATTAAATTCTCATTCATTAACGGTGTTACAACTTCTTTGATTTATGTTGGCAAGATATTATAGCATAATAATTACTTCATTTTTTTGGCACCACATAATAATTACTTTTGCACGCAAGAAAAACCAAAAATACAAATCATATTATATAAACTTTCTTATACTAGAATGAGAATATAAAAAACATTAAAAAATTGGATTTGAAAAATACAAAAAATAAATAGTTATATATATAATATGAAGAGAAAAAAATAGTTAACGAAATGCATAAAATTGTTTAGTAAATCAATCATAATAGTTGATGTTATCCATAAAAGAAACTTAAAAATACAATATATTAACATAAATTGTCTATAAAATATGAATACTAAAGAAAATGACTAGTTAATGTTTATTTTCTTTAAAATGTTTCAATGACTAAAATTTTTCAAATTAAAATTCTCAATACTTATACAATGACGTAAAATCATCAACAATTGATGAATAAATAACTTTATTTATAAAGGTAAATTATTAATTTTCAATGACTTCAAATTATTAATAATTAAGAGATAAAAATTTTAAAATAGCATATAAATTTTGTTGACATTAACTAAAATATAAATTATTAATTTACAAAAATGATAACAATTTATATCCGTTAACTAAGCTGTCTAAGATTTGAATGATGACTTTAAACATGAAATACACTATGTTAATAGGAGGTGTGTCTCATAATTTTTAGCAAATATTAATTACTACTTTTCATAATATATACTTCATACTAATATTATAATTATAAAAAAATATTAAAATATAAATAACTTTCTATTTATATCATGTCTCAATAAACCTGTCTTAGATATATTGATCATCAGATTTATTTTATTTAGAATAGCCATTAGAACAAGAAGTATTTGATGTTAACATAATGAATACATAATTTTAGGCAAATTCAAATAAATAAAAAGTTTTTTCTAAAAAAAAAAGTTAAATATGTTATATCTAAAATAAGTTTTATTTATTTTTTTAACAAAATATAAAATTATAAAAAAATTTCACAAAAAGGCATTGATAATATTAAAATAATTCATAATAAATACCATAAACTTTTTTCCATTGACTTATTTATATTTAAATTTTATACTTATAAATATTAGAACGATTCAAAAATAATAATCATAATAAAATCAATATTTTTTATATTATTATGCTATGAGATAAACGCAGCAAATAAATAAAAGAACTTATATTTTATTAAAAAATATATATAAAGATTAAAATATTAAATATTTAACTTATTTTAATATTAGAATTTGATATAAGTTAAAAGAAAAAAGCAAATTGAATTGGAATACTAGCACCCGTATGAGACAAAAAGAAATGAACGGTGCTGGAAAACTTTAAAAGGCAAACAAACAAATCCCATATGGAATACAGCTGTTAAGCATATCTCTGGCGCGCCCATCTATATATATATATATCCTTTTACACCACTAAACTTATTCTGTTTAATAATTCATCTTTTATATCAAATTTTAAAGATCTAACCGTTTAATTTAAAATTCTTAATGCATAGATAAATTTACAAATTTTAAAGATTTGAAAGTTATTTGATATTTTATTTTATTAATTCAAATTAACAGATAATTATAAATAATTTTTAAATTAATGAAACGGAATATCAAATAATTTTTAAATTTTTTAAAAATTTATAAATTTGATCTATGCATTAAAAACTTTAAATTAAACTGTTAAATCGTTAAAATTTGATATAAAGCATGAGTTATATAATAAATTTAGATAGACTTATTCTTGGAATAAAAATATCCATATATATATATTAAATCAAAGTATTTTTTAACTAGTTTTTTATACACTTCTTAATCAAAAGTTAAAAACCAATATACATTTAAAAAGTTAATTCTTGTAACAAATAATTTTCATACATATGACATACTTAAAAATGAAAGTTATCTATTAACTTTATTGCAATGTTGAAAATAAATTTCCACACGAGACAAAATACAATTTTTTTTTGTGAGAAATCAGTGGTAGGGTTGATAAGAATTTAATTCCACACTTTAGGTGGATTTACAAAAAAAATCCATAAACAATGCTACCTTTGTACTATTATCTAATTATCTAAATAGTTATTTAATAAAGAGTAAAATTGTAATTATTTAAAAAAATATATTTTTATATAAAAATTTAATTATACAAATAAAATTTTAAAATATTAGTTTTCTTTATTTTTCATCTTATTTTTTCTATTAAATAATTATAAATTTTATATTATTTTTTACTTAATTCTTATCAAATTAGTTTTAACATATATATATTTTTTGTTTCTCTCAATCTTTTCCTCTTCCAGACAAAGATAATAGATTAAAAGAATGAAAGTCAAAGACCTTGCACCACACACCTCGCAAGCAGCCAAGCACAACCTTAAGGATTACCGAATCAGAATTTTTTTCTTCTTCTTATTGCTTTTTAGTTATAAAGTTAAAGAACAAAAGTTGAATCCTAATTTCTAATCTATACCTTCTTATTGTATCGTACATATGCTGCGTATTTATTTTTATTTATTTATTTATTTATTATTATTATTATCAAGTAGTCATTATAGATTTAATATAAGCATTTAGTATGCAAAATGTTTTTATTTTTTTTAAATTTTAAATTGATGATTTTTGTAAGATCTCTCAAATTTAATATCTTAACAGTTTCATTCCATGACACTTTATATGGTAACACTTCATATAATTTTTTATTGGTTAGAACTCTTTGTGAATAGTCCTTTCTAAAATGTCTGTTTATTTTTAGGATCAATAACCAAACCAACATAAGTCTTTTCAATATATTTTGTCCTCTCTCGCATACTTTCTGAAAAACTTTCCAAAAAATCATTCATTCCTAAATTATTCTAAGTCAAATATGTTTAACTATTAAGTTCTTTTATGATGAACTATCAAAAAGTACATACATCTTATTAATATATATATATATATAGTATAAATTAATTCTTTTAAGTCATTCTCAATTATATAATCTCATTTTGTATCTCAACTGTTACAATCTTGATTTCTCATATTCGATAGTTATTTAAAGGCTAAAACACTAATTTGGTCCCTTATATTAATTGTTTTCCACAACGAATTCATATCAGCAGAGGCACTCACATGGTCCAATCGCACCTGCGAGCGGCCTTCCCGAAGCGGTGAGCTATATATTGACTCCGGGAAGCCCCCTGCGATGAACCAGACGCCGGCGCCGAAGCTGCAAGTGTAGCTGTGGGGACCTCGAAACTCGGCCCCTTGCTGCGTGCCTCGACAGAGGGAGAAGCAGGCGCGCCCTGCTCGACAATGGGAGGGTCCACGTCTGGCACCTACGACCTCGGGAGCACCTGAGCCTCGGCAGCG